CGCGACATTTTAAATCAATATATCGTCGAAAGTATTCGTTTCTGTAAGAAAATAAAAAATACGTGTCTAATGATTTGAAATAATCTACCAGACGGACATTAAAATAAAAATTAAGCATCTACCCTATTGTATCGTTATGCACTGTTTTATTTCATGTCGCCTGCTTCAACTAGCTAATTTAATTTTATTAATTCTTCGCAAAGAACATTTTGTACCGAAGTAAAAGATCAAAGTTGTTCGCAAAGATAATCGAGTCAGGTTCATTTAATTAAGGTCCAGGCAACCTGTTGAACAAAATAACCACCTTTTTATGTAAAAATGTTAGCTTAATCTGCTTACTTTTTTATTATAACGTCAAGTTACAGTTTGCCTAGGTCAACCTAGATTTATCTCAAAGAAATTCGAGTAGCTTTTAGGCGCCATTTTAATAAAGATTTTCCTTAAGATTTTTCACGAAATATTTTTTGAGAAACTGCTTTATTGAAGGATTTGGTTTAAAAATAACTTGTCTACATTATGTGTTGATTTCTCAGCGAAATGTTCAGTAACACAACATCATGCCTTTTGCCCCTTTTGCACGCACTTAATGCCACTGTACAATGTAACACCCCCTTTTCACTATTTATGTTATATCCCATGTAATAGAACTCCGTGCTACTACTGAGAATTTTATTAAAAAAACGTAGTAATACTATGCCCGACCCGGGAATCGAACCCAAAGCCCGGGAGTAACACTTGCGACCACTCGGCCATCGAGGCAGTAAATTTTCAGTAATTGCGCAGTTTGCAGTTTGATCCATTTTCGTCGCTAAAATATTTAAAAGCGAACAAATTTTGTATGTTTTACTCACCTTGTTCGAGAGAGTATTCCTTCAAGAACTGGAACAACGTTACAGCGGTCTAGAACTCTAGAGTCTAGACAAGTATAAACCCAAGGATACACTAAGGGACAAATGTCCTGCGACACGCGTCGCCAGCGACGTTGGGTTAAGTAGCGCGACGTTGCCGAACTTTGGTCGACATGTCTGGCAACATCAACATCGCTGTGGACATATGACGCGCGTTGTTGCCTGTCGTACAATGTGTCAGGTGAAATCGTCAGGCTCCACTTGACATGTCGCCGATACACATTTGCCTCTAGTGTATCCTTGGCTGTATAATCTTTCTCAATCTATTAGAAAGCCAAAGGGATTTCACATTATAAATAATAAAAAAATAAGGCCTAGGTTAGACCATCGTAAGCCTTTTCGTTTAAAGAATATGTTTTTACTACGATAATTTATCTTAGTACAGTGTTAAGAGGTAATCCCTTTTTAAAGAAAATCGTTTATTAAGAACCAGTGTATTTAGATTTTTTTTATGGCATAAGTCGGTAAACGAGCAGACGGATCCCCTGATGGTAAGCAATCGACGTCGCCCATTGACACCTGGAACACCAGAGGCATTACAAGTGTGTTATCGGCCTTTTGGGGATTAGGAGTTTGAGGATCGTTGGGGATTCAGGAATTGGGGAGATTGGGGAAGGGGAGGGTAATTGGGCCTCCGGTAACCTCACTCACACGACGAAACACAAGGCAAGCGTTGCTTCACGTAGGTTTTCTGTGAGGCCGTGGTATCACTCCGGTCGAGCCGGCCCATTCGTGCTGAAGCATGGCTCTCCCACAATTATGTATTGAGACAAACTAAATTAATATTTATGTTTTGCGGCTTACTCACGTAACTGTTTGACGAGGAACCCAGTAGCAGCGCGACAGTCGAAGCGTCGCGGGCCGCGGAATGCTGCTCATGAATATGAGCCTCTAGCATGGCTTGAAACTAGTCGAGTTCCTCGTCAAACAGTTAAGTGAGTAAGCCGAACACATAATAATTCAGAACCGGTGTACTTGTAGGTATTATAGACAATGTCCAACGATCTCTGTCTATAGTGAATCTTTCTTATATACAGACTGGTCACAGAAAAGTGCTATTGGCTATCATTATACATTCCGAATGTGGGTTTAATCATAGAAAGTAGACAGACAAAGGAGTTATAAATAAAATTATTTTGTTTGTATGTTAATCGGTATTAATGATCTCTTTTCTACTAATCAAGCCTTTACATTTGACATACATATATATTTTAAAAAAGCCTGGCGTTTACAAATATACAAGTTTACTTACACATGACACCCAGACCCGAAACAACAATTTGTGGATCACACAAAGAGTTGCTCCATGCGGGAATCGAACCCACTGCACGACAGCCGGTTCCACAGCTACCGCTCCGTGCAGTCAATAATGGAGGTAGTTGTGGAAAAAAATTGTAATTATTATACCAATGTTCATCAAGATTATAAGTGTGGACAAATATCAAATCGGTCTATCATCAGAACCGATTGCTAAATAAACAAACAAAGGAAGCTAAATAAACCGTTTAAAATATAATTAAAACTTGTTCTAAATTCTGTACTTCAAACAAGATATATAATTTCTGGTATTACATATTATAGTCGCGGAGAACCTAACGGTTTACCGGGGCTCCGGCTTGAAATGCGGGAAAGAACGGGGTGGTTTTTAGTCAGTAAGAGTCTGACACTCCCTCCCGCCTCACCCAGGCGGGAGCAGTCATTCGATGATTTTACCTCCTTACAATACATATTATAGAAATAGACAGAAGTCTTCTTGTTTCAGGAAATAACGAACAACAGACAGGCAAATTGGATCAGAAAAACCTGATACTATGAAACACTGAACGTCTTTTGCCAAAAAATGTGAATGTCAAAACAAGCTTTCATTTTTTTAGTAAAACATGATACAGGCCGCTCAGTTAACTTCCGTGATGAAATATTGTTTGTTTAATTAAGTGTTTTCTTTTTTGTGTTTAGATATTTTTTTTGTTAGGTTACTCGTAAACAATAATTATAAAAGTTTAATCTTAATTTAGCTAGATGAATATAGTCTGAATTGTTGAGAGAGTTCTATATAAGTGTAACTTACAACCCTGTATAACATTTAAACTGTCAAACACCAAGCGGTCACCGGTGACCGCAACCTATTGTTCTATAATTGTGTCTACAAAACCGGTACTCGACGAGTTAATTATAAGTACATTTAAGTTTAATGTCTAGAGACTCGTTGACCCCACAGTCAAACCATTGCAACGGTTTTGTGGGGCTTAGATAGATTATAAGATTTACCTTTTTTGATATAAAGATAAATAAATTAAAAAAAATCACTTGATCCACAGATTATACTATTCCTTCCTAATGCTAGTCCTTCTTGCGGCGAGACGTTCTATATATTTTTTATGGCATATGCCGGTAAACGAGCACATGGATCACCTAAGGGCTAAGCACCAATAACTACCGCATTCGTATCGTAACAGTATCGAGCGAGTTAAGCGTTCTGATTCGTTGGTTCACTTGAGCCGGCCAATCAGAGCGCCGAACGCGCTCGATACTATTACGTTACGAATGCGATAGTTATTCGTGCTTGGCACTCTGATGGTAAGCAATCGGCGGCGCCCATGGACACATGGATTTTTAATCCACCTATAAATCTCGTAGCAAACATCAAATATAAAATTAAATCTAGACTATAACAATATTTCGGAAAGTAAAAAACTTTATAATAGTCAGACACACAGTCTTTTATACATATTATAATAAAATTGTAGAAAAGTGCTGTCTGTACATCTATACATATAATAAAATTGTAGAAAATTCAAAACTGTACATTGAATGTTTTTTAAAAAGAATACTTGTAACGTGAGTAACGCTGTAAGCGATAAGGCCGCCCACTGTACAACATGCCAAAACTAATTTTTACCTACCTACTATTTTCTTGTTCGTGTCTTTTGTAAGTGGTGTACAATAAAGTGTTTATTATTATTATTATGTATGTCATTACCACCCACGAAACCACAGGGTCCCAGTCATTTGGGAGGCGTACGAGGGGCCGAAGGCCTGCGCAGAGGCCCTAGACAACTTTAATCTAAATGTAATGGATTATTATTGTTAATATGATCTACAATCTATACCGAAGCCAAAAATATGTTTTTTAGAGTTTTTGTCTGTTTGTCTGTATGTATGTATGTCCGTGATGATCTCCAAAAGTGCTGCATGGATTTACTTCAAATTTTGCATGAATATTTCTAACAGGCCAGGTCAACATATAGGCTACATATTATCACGCTATCATATTACGGGGGAAGAGCTGTGAATCACAATTCCACGCGAACGAAGTCGCAGGCAACAGCTAGTAATTGCTAAACGAATACCTAAGTTTATTTGTTGTAAGGGTAATTGAATCTTGTAAATATAGGGACACATTAGTGCTCCTAGAAAGATGCCGAAATGAACATAAGATACTATTTCTATTTACCTACGTAGAACTATTTTATCGCATTATCACATTATATTGTAAGAGAACCTTTCTCCCACATAATTTTTATATAATAATATTATCTGGAGTTTCAAAGATACTGTGACCTCTGTATTTGTTTTGGTGTTTCTTCTTAGCGCGGTAAAAGTCAAAGCAAATATTTAAACTACCATAAATAGTATGCAGGTACATTTGAAACGTCAACAAATAAATAAAGAAATAAATAATAGTCTGTCAGTCTGTCCCTCAGTAAGCTAGGTTTTGAATTGAGAAGATTAAGAAAGAAAATCAATGGTTACTTTTTTAAAAAAATCATATAGGTGATCAGCCTCAACTGATTATTTTTATTATATTCACATATAAAATCGCTGTTTTAGTCTATTTACAGAACAACTTGAGCACTATTTTACACTAATTCTGTTAAATCATATACAGTGTTGTTACTTTATTATAAACTGAACTCATCTATCTATCAGTCTAACGTGAAATTGTTCTCAAATGATTCATTAATTTGTGTACAATGAAATAGCGCACTCAAAATTAGGTCATTATTTAAACAACACCCTTAGAAACCTAGACAGATAAATGACTATTTGCTTTAGAGTATTGTTTATAAATATAAATGACTATTGTTTCAGATACCGCATCGCGTTCCAAGAGACTCTTCTGTGCAGGAAAGTCCGAGGACGTCGAGACTCCCGCATTATTAATCTGGATCACACCATTTGTAGAGAGGTGACAACACTACCCAGCGTCAACTCGACTAACATGAAACGAGAATCGAGAATTTCATTCATCAGTAAAGTCGATTACGTAAAAGACCCAACACCCTACTGTATTAGCGAAGATAGGGATTGTGAAGAACCAGTCTTTAAAAGTTATTCAAAAACTTGAGCAGGTAATTGTAGATTTTTCGGCGCCAGGGTTTTCAATCAATCTGTATAGAATTAATAATGTTGTAAATAGAAAAAATATAAAATAATTAAACATAATTTCTGAAGATCGTTTTGTAATTTCTTATTATATTTGTGTGAACTATAGTGGTGTAGTGTAATTTTATATGTATACCTCTATACTAGTAAAGTAACTAAGCTTTGTTTAAACTCATTTGTAATGTATATATATTATGTATTTTTGCGTATTTAGACACTACAAAAACTATATAAACAACGCATTTCTCTTCATATTTAGCTCTCATTTCCTCAAACCACATTCATTACCCAGTCTTTTAGTTACCGAAAACAACTACCGCCTATATTAAAATATTTAGTTTCTGTGTTGACAATGAACGTAATATTTTGGCATTAATATTACTCCTTTCTAAAGGCTGTTTGCGTAAACAAGCTTTCCATCAAGTAAGCTTAGCTTGGCCGTTTAGACAAATACAAATGTGCCAAGTTCATTACCGCTAGGGTATTGCCCTTTCAAAATTGATAAAATGGCCTCTTATTTCGTGTTAAGGGTTATCTTATCTTTCGCCTCTGTTACAAAGTTATGTAGGCAAACTATTTATTATACAGGTAAAATAATAAAATAAGAGATGGACTCAGTACGGAAACAATATAAATCATGCCTGTATAGTAAATCATATGTTTTAAGGTAACGCTAATCTCTTGCTCGGTTGAGTAACCCAACTGCAACTGTACCTACGGAATCAATCTTTATCTTCCCTGCACACCAAATAGTTCAGTTTCCTATATATACTTGAAGTATTATTTTTTGAATAAGCCGATAACAGAGCATACGGATCACCTGACGGCAGGGACCGATATCGATAAATGAAAAATACCGATATTTTCAAGAAGATATCATTATTGCAACTGATATTTTATGTTAATATCGATATCCATATCGAATTTAATAAATACCGCTATTAAATTATCGATAATTATATCGTTATTCTATATCGATACCAGTCGCGAGAGGGAGACGATGATGCGACATTAGTTGCTCTCACTCGCACAGCCGCAACGCCGAGCGGCAACATTGTAACGAATAGACCAGATCCTGTGTAACAGTGGAAAGTAGCTTAGTGCAACGAGTTGCGTCTTGTTGTCGAATGCGCGCGTATCTACTTGTTGTTATTGCTGTTGTTTACGTAATCGTGATAAATAATGGGGCGTAAAAAGCAAAATCATGTATATAAATACTTTAATGTTAATAAGACCACATTAAAATATCCACATTATTATATATATATACATTATTTGTAATATATCCACATTAGAAAAACTCTATTTTTTAAAACATGATGAATGATGTTAGTATCTCCTCACTTAAAGCTTCAAATCGAATGTATCGAAGCAATGTAATAACTGGTGGATGCAATTTTCTCGTTTTTCTTGTGGCATCATGGTCAATTTTCTTCCAATGACAAATCCCAGCGTGTAGCACTTTCCAACTGTCTCCATATTTAAATTATTTAATTCCATATTATCCGTAACATTATCAGTGTTCGTCTCATCGAATATTTTATTTGATGTGTCAATATTAAAATTTGCCTATAATAAAAACCAATACTTAATTTACATTAGGTATAATTCAACGAACTTTTGGTGTGCGTACGCGCAGCGGAATGTTGTTGAATATAAAGATTTTAATTACCTATGCAGATATTTAGTGTATGACATCGTATAATTGTGTATGGTAAACAATAAATTGTGTATGCAGCCATTGTAATTGCTAATGGCCAAACGTTCGCGTGGCGGAAACTTGAATTTCTCCGAAGTTTATGCATGCACTAGTTTTATTCATACATACACAATTACACACAAATACACACTAATTTTTGGACACATCTCTTTTCTTCTTTTTTTTATTCTTGATAGGTTTGCGCTTGACCGCTAACTCACCTGATGGAAAGGGACGATGCGGTCGACGATGGAGCGCGCTTACCTAGAAGTAACCTATTCACTCTTGACTTAAAGATTCCAGGGTTGTAGCCATCAGGAAACACAGATTCAGGCAGGGAATTCCACTCCTTTGCTGTACGCACAATGAATGTGTTTCTAAAACGTTTTGTACGTATGGGTGGGATGTCCACCATGTACCGATGGCGCATCGCCGTACGCCTGGTGGTCCGATGATGAAACGGGCTAGACGGAATTAGGTTATGCAATTCCGACGCACACTCTCCGAAGTGCAATTGGTAGAAAACCGACAGGCTAGCGACTTTGCGTCGATGCTCAAGACTTTGAAGCCTCGACTCGACGAGTACATCATTGCCAATGATTCTCTTGGCTCGCCTCTCAATTGTCTCGAGTGCATCAAGCTGGTATTGGGCAGATCTATCCCAAAGATGACAGCAGTACTCCATACACGATCGAACTTGTGCTTGATAAAGTTTGAGCAGCTATTCCGGCGCGAAGTACCGTCTGACCTTCGAGAGGATTCCCAGCTTTTTTGCAGCCAGTTGAGGCTTTGCTTCGATAAATGGCCCAAAATTTAGAGTCGAGGTCAACGTAACACCGAGAAGATCAAGATGGTCGGTTATCGGAAAGTTGGAGTAGGGCTGAATTGACTCCTTTTAGCGGAAAAAAGACACGCAGCATTAAATTTGACCAACTTGGCATCGCCCCATTCGGAGACTGCCTCCAAGGACAAGTTCAAGCGCCCAACCATAGCCTCTCGGAGAGACTGGATCTGCGACCCACTAGCTCGTGCGCTGGATGTGTAACTCTCGACAATTGTGCTGTCGTCTGCATACCCAAAGGTACCGGGCTTAAGCAGATCGTTTATGTGCAGCAAGAATAGTGTTGCCGAGAGCACTGACCCCTGAGGGACCCCGGCATTAATAGCCATTTTACCAGACGACCAGCCATCGATGACAACTCCTATGGTTCGGTCAACCGAAAGAAGGAAGCTTACTAATAAGGCTTTCGTGCCAGACCCTATCGAATGCCTTCGAGATGTCGAGGGAGACGGCAAGCGCTTCCCCGTGCTTCTCGATAGCCTCACTCCAGATGTGGATGGCATACGCTAGAAGATCCCCAGTGGACCGATTTCGGCGAAAACCATATTGTTGGTCACTTAGGATGTCATTAGCTTCATTAGGTATGCCAGGAGCTTATTGTTGAGTACACGTTCCATAGTCTTACAGAGGATACGACGACTAGTCTCCCGATACATCAGCACCAGCACGAGTCTGGCTGGTCAGCATGCATAAGAACCGCCACTTCGACCCAACTCCTCTGGATTGGCTACACTGGGCATCGTACCGGAACACGGCTGGGCCGCTTGGCGGCACGTCTTTGCCCAGTGGGTGGTCACAAGCCATCGGTCGAAACCTACCACCAGTTAGTGTCACCTGATTAGCACCACCCGGGGACCACGTGTAGGGCCTAACAATGGGTATCCTCCTACGGACGCGGGTGACTCAGCCCCCAAAAAAAGTTCTAAAGTCTATGGATTAAAAAAAGCTCCGCCAGGACAACATTCACCCAGCGGAATCAGTTTTTGTTGAATTTCTCCACAATGGCTGCGTACACAATTTCTTTTTTACCATACAGAATCATACGACGTCATACACTAAATATCTGCATAATTAAAATCTTTAAATTAAACATCATTCCGCTGCGCGTACGCACACGAACTTTTGTCCGAACGAGAAAAGCGCAGGCCACGTCGCTAACAAGCGAGCCATCGACAAGCCAGGCGAGCATCGTGGGGCTGCGGGTTGTTCGAAAGAGATACCGCAGCCCCGGAACACCAAGGGCTAAAGAAGGAATATTAATGGGTTTTAGTCAGTAAAAGTTTGACACTCCGTGACCGCGGGAGAAGTTATTTGATGATTTCCCATCCGAAAAAAAGTCAGGCATTGTTTCACCTCTTTTTATACTCCAGTTCACATCGCGAATCGCGATCCACAGAATTAGCTACTTATAGCAATACTAGCTTCTACCCGCGACTGCGTCTGCAAGGACTTCAGGAGGATTATGTTCTTTTCCCACGGGAACCACTTGAGGAACCGGAATAATAGATAGCCTATGTTTTTTTCCATGTCAAATGCTATATGCATGCCAAATTTCATCCAAATCCATTCAGCCGTTTTTGCGTGATTAAGTAACAAACATCCACACTTTCACATTTATAATATTAGTTAGGATAATCGATGCCAACAAAATATCCGACGATGCCCGCAATACTATTTGTTACATATAAAAAAATTCATAACATTGAGTCGTCATAATTGAGCCAACTCTGAAATAACGTAAAAAAAAATCAGCTGTTCCTTATAAAAGTTCAATGCCTACTCGACCATATTGTATGAAACAGCTTACCTACATTTTTTGCGATTTCAGAGTTCGTTCCATATTAAAAGCTGTTTTTTTATAGGTAGTGTCACTTCCTTGCTGGAATAAAACTATAAAATATGACGATGTGTATACCTACTTGTAGGTAATTCGTATACTTAGTACAATGATACGCATAGTATGGATAATTATGTGAGTTACAAACACTACCTAATGAATAAAATATTGCTTTAGACTTTTATGATCATAAAAATTTACCTCATCAGAATCGAATAAGTCTATAGACTCCGGTGAATTAAGTTCAGGAGTAGTACTATTAGGATCTATGTCATAATGACGGGCTCGAATAGGTGAACTTTTAATACAGTCTTCTTCCATACTCGAAACATCATCCCCAGATGACTCATCTACTACCACATTTTTTATGCCTGTAAGGTAAAATCCATATTATACAAATTGTTACCCTCGATCTTATTTTTGACGTATTGTTTATTTTAAATTCGTTGAATTGGGATAAATCGGTCTCCGATCGCTTTGCACGATTATTTACAATTCCTATTCCCATACACATCAGTAGAACATCAAAATTAAGTTAATAAGAATATTAAATCTTTAGAAAATACAAACCAGACATCTTGGGCCGATTATTTCGTGGATAATTCTCTGCGTTTGCTATAAAGGAATTAGGCAGAGACAGAGTTATCTGTCGTGTTAACTTCACCGACTGTCGTGTCGTCTGTGTCGGGGACCGGGGTACGGGCGG